GGCTTGTATGGTTACACGGAGTGTTGAGTCTGATGTATAGGGTTATTGGCATTTTTAAATTGCTTTGTGGACCTGTTGTTAGCATTAATTTATTGTAAATGTGAATTTATTGTAAATGTGAATTTATTGTAAATGTGAATTTTTTTGTTGCAATTTACAACCCTGTGTGTTAACATTCCCGTGTTAATTTATATATGCAAATGGCTAGAATTGTTGTTAAAATATGATTGGTTTGTGGAAGTTGTGAAATAACTGTCATGGTGTATGTTTTTTTTTTTCAAATGGATGAATATATAGTGATAAGGTATCATCATGGGGGTGTGTTAATCAGAGATGATAAAGGGGTCCTAACTTATGCAAATGGAAAAGTGGATGACTTACTTGAGATGGATGCTGACTTTGTCAACCTGCGTGACCTTGATACTCTGTTCAAGGGTTATGGGTATGAGAAATGTGATCAGATGTTGTGGCTCATGCCAAACGCAATGGATTTAGAAAGTGGTTTAAGGCCTCTAAGTACGGACTCTGATATTGTGGAGATGGTAAAGGCTGCATTAAGTAATGAGAACTTCATAGAAATATATTTTGATCATTGCATTTCCATCCCTGATATTATTGCACCTGCACCCGTGGAAGGCAGTGATGGGGATGAGGATGATAGTGGAGGTGGTATTGAGGATGATAGTGGAAATGGTGATGATGATGATAGTGGAGATGGTGATGGGTTTTCTACTGACTCAGATGATAGTGTGGAGGATGAGCCATATAAACCTCCTCTGCCTATGTATGATACAGAAACAGAGAGTGAGGAAGAGTGCAAGGGGAAGGGTAAAGCTGCTGGACAATAAAAGCAAAACAAGAAGAAAAAAAGGAGGTTGAAGATGTGGCAGGGGAAGATACAATGGAAGAGGAGGAGAAGTCAATGTCTTTCGAGGAGGGTGGGTATGGGTATAACTCTGAAGAGTTGAACACGCCTCCTTCAAGTGGTGATGAGGAGGATGGAAATGTTGTCAATCCAAAGTTTAATGTGCATGAGGAGTTTGGTCATGTACACTTAGAGCTGGGGATGGAGTTTGTGAGTCTTCAAGAATTTAAAAATGTTGTCAAAGACTATAGTATTGATCTAGGAAGACAATTCAAGTGGCTGAAGAATGACAAAGTCAAAGCCCGAGCAAAGTGTAGTAATGATGAATGTGATCGGATGATTTACTGTGCGTGGAACAACAAGATGGCAGCTTTCCAAGTCAAAACTTTTAATGACATCCACACTTGCTGCAGACTTTTTAGAAGCAAGAGGGCTAGTAGGGATTGGGTTGCAAAGAAATTAGAAAAAAGGCTAATGACACAGCCGAACATGACAAGGGTTGAGGCCTACGACCACATGAAAGAGGAGTACAAAGTTCATGTCCATTTGAAGAAAGTGACAAAGGAACTTCATAAAGCCAAGGCCAAAATAGAAGGGGGTGAAAAAGAACAGTATGCAAAATTGAGAGACTACTTAGGTGAGCTATTGAGAAGCAATCTAGGGTCTACATGTCAAATGCAAGTGATCCCACAACCTGATCCGCACTCTTCACCCATATTTTCTAAGTTGTACATTTGTCTGGATGCATGCAAGAGAGGGTTCAAAGCTGGCTGCAGGCCCTTAATTGGTTTGGATGGATGTTTCTTGAAAGGATATTATGGAGGTCATTGTTAAGTGTAGTTGGGGAGGATGCCAACAAAAGCTTCTATGTCATCGCATATGCAGTTGTTGATAGTGAAACAAAAGAGAACTGGAAGTGGTTTTTAACCCTTTTACAGGAAGACATTGGCCCTCACGCAGTGTTTGGGTGGAATTTTATTTCTGACCAACAGAAGGTTTGTTTTGCTTATTTTATTTGTTTACTCTGTTTTTCCTTCACTGAATCTGATCTCACTGTATTGCTTATTGGTTTTTTTGTTTTTTTTTTGTGTCTGTGTGTAGAGGCAGATAACAGCACTACAAGAGGTGATGCCTGGTGCATATCATCGTTTTTGTGTGCAGCATGTTTGGAAGAACTTCATAAAGCAGTGGAAAGACAAGGCAATTCGAGCCATGGTCTGGGAGTGTTCAAGATGCACCACTGTCCCACAGTTCCAGCAGTCAATGGCACGGTTGAAAGGGAAGAATGAGGCTGCATGGAAGTACTTGGATAACATTCAGCCCTCAAGTTGGGTGAAAGCTTATTTCAGCCACTGGCCGAAATGTGATAATATCACAAACAACATGGCAGAGGTATGGAATGCCAAAATTGTTGGACATAGGTCAAAATCAATTATCACTCTATTAGAGGAATTGAGATGCTACATTATGAGGAGGATGGCTGCACATTAGAGGGTGTTAGGAACTGTTCGGGGTAAAATTGCTCCTGCTCAGCAAAAGAAACTGGATCAGTTAAAGGTACTTAGCAATTCATGGACACCAACTTGGACTGGAAATTTGCAGCAAGATATGTATGAGGTCAGTGGGAGAGGTGATAGAGTTGGAGTGAATTTAACAACACATACATGTGCATACAATGCATGGCAGTTGACTGGACTGCCTTGTGAGCATGCTATAGCAGCCATTTGTCACAAAAACAAACCAGTCGAGAACTGTGTCCATCAATGGCTTACAGTGGATGCATTGCATGCCACATATGCGCACACCTTAAACACAGTGAATTCAGACAAGTATTGGCCTGCATCAGATGAACCCAAACCTCTTCCACCAAAACTTAAAAGGCCAATTGGGCGTCCCAAGAAACACAGGAAGAAGGACCCAACTGAAGACCAAGGGAGCATGACAAAGAAAGTTAAAAGGACATATGCAGCCAAGTGTACTAAATGTGGTCAGACTGGACACTATGCCAAGAGTTGTAAGGGGCCACCAGCTTCCAAAACAGATAAAAGCCAAGCAAGACCACAATCTGTGAGGATTGGCTCTGACTCAGTAGATGAAATCCCATTAAGTCAAGGAGGCCCTTCAGCAGTTGGTAGTTCTCAGCCCCATTAAGGCAACTTGAGAGGAGGCAGCCCTCCTCCTTCAATTCCAGAAGAAGCAAATGCAGTGTTGACTGAAGAGACAATGAAGGCAGCAAGCAGTGGCACACGAAGTAGATTTTTGCACTTCATGACAACACCTGGTTTCAGGACACCAAGGCCATCCTCAACAAAATGAGCTGCTGATGAAGAAGAACAAGGGAGTAGTGCATGAGCCAACTGACAAGGAGTGGATATAATGGGATTTTTTTGTAAATTCTGGCCATTTGTTTTTGGAGGCCTTATACAGTTATAATGTAATTTTTTTTATGCATGGCCATATTGTACTTATAGGTCTCACTTATGATTCCTATTAGTTGGCTTTTATTTGTAATGCACTACTAGTTTCTAGTTCTAGGAAGACAATTATGTGTAACTGGTTATATTCTGGATATGCATGTTATGTGGCAGGGTTGATGAATGTGATAATTTCATGTCCATTTTATGTTTTTAACTGAGTTGGTCAATTAGCTGAGGCATGGTCATGTAGCTACCATATTTTCTGGTTACTGGTTTGTGCAGGTTTATGCAAGGCCATATTTTCTGGTTACTGGTCATTCCATATGGCTTTACTTTTGGATGTTAAGTGCAATTTATTTTGGTTCACAGGTTGATGAATGTTGCAGCTATTATGTGGCAGGGTTGATGCATGTCATAAATGCATTTTCTGGTTCTTATGTTTTCTAAGAGATGTAGCTTGTTGTTGGTCATTTAGCTGCCATATTTGCATTCTGGTGCAGGTTTGTGCTGTGTTACTGGCAATATAGATCATGCCCAATTTTCTGGTTGCAGGGACCAATTAGGACCCCGAAACTCATTGTGAGGGACCAATTTGAACCCTTACATACTGCATTTCTGATGTTAAGTGCATTTCTGATAGCAAAGCATATAAGTCAGGGACATAATATGTTTCTGATGTTAAAATGAGTGCTGCATTTTGTTGATTTGGACATCAAGAACTCATGTCCTATAATTCTGGAATCAGGGACCAATAAGTGCCCCATGCACTTTGTCAGGGACCAAAACGACCCTCGAGTAACATTGCCAGGGACCTAAATGGTCCTCGTGTTTTGCAATCAGTAACAAAATATGCATAACAGTATGCAACTTCTGCATCAGCAATGTCATGAGTTATGCATCTATATCAGTAGCAATCTATATCTGTTTGTGATACAATGTAGCAATCTTTTATCCTTCAAGGCTTTTCTAATAATACACACAAACAGATTGACACTAACACATAATTTGTATAACATAAAGAAGGAGTACTCATTACAATTCACTGAAGGAAAAATACATTTGGGTCACTTGTTTTCACTTTTACCACACTAACAACAAACATACAGATCATGATCACACCAACACAAGCACCTAAGACCCTAGCTGACCTATCAACTATCCTAATTTTTTTGTCCATCCTATCTAACTCCTCCACCATCTTCAGGTATACATCATTCAGTTTTCTTTCCTGCTGATGAAGCTTCATTCCTTGCTCAGTAATCTTCACATCTTGCTCTCTCATCACCATCTCCACATATTTAAACTTGAAGTTAATTTCAGCAACATCCAACTCCACAGTGTGAATTCTTGCTTCTTCCAGCTCCATGGGTTCATTACACATGTCATCTACCCATCTAAAAAAAATCACAATAGGGCTTCTTCTCCTGCAAAAAAAAAACCACGGTTAGCAAGTGTTCCAACTCAATAAAGGGGCAGATTACAAATTCATACCTTGAAATTAGAACAGCCAAGGAAAGCCCTGTTTGGGTTCCTCTCAGTTTTGGAGGTATAGACAATACTTTGTCTCCCACATTTGCACCTCCAACCGGCGGTCCTTGTCATTGTTCTTCCCTCCATTGATTTACTCCCATGCCAGAAGAAACACTCATCTTCTCCCACGCCCAGAAATCCGGTTGATGGGTTTTACTGTTGTCGAGTTTCAATCATCAAAGTGCAGACATTTTGGGGGCGTATTGATGTTTAGGGGATGGAGTTTCCGGTTTAGGGTTCGATTGAAGGAATTTGGGGTTTTTTCATTATTAGGGTTCATTATCAGAAGAGGAAACGACGTCGTCGTCTCCATTACACACATTGCAACCCATTTTGAAGAAAACGTCGTCGTTTGTAGTTCCAACGTGCCAACCGTCCAGTCCCCGTCAGCAGACTAACGTGCCACATGGGCACCGTTAGTTTGACCGTGACAGAGGAGTTGACAGAAGGACTAACGTGACCCCTTTTTTCATAATTTTAGGGACCAATTTGGTCCTTTTTTATTACCAGAGACTAAAAAGGATTATGTAGATATTGTCAGGGACCAAAAAAGGTGTTTACTCTTAAAAAAACTATATTTTCCTTGGGCTTAATTAATATTAATTAAGTGTTTTGAGTATTATTCTAACTTGAACCAAAAGCACGAGGCCAACATCTATTATATATCTTCATTTTCAATTTTAGTAATCACTTAGTGAAATCCAATAATCACTCATTAAAATATAAATTTCATTATAAAAATATTTTTATTTATTAAGTAAAATCCAATATTTATTCTCTCTAAATAAATTTTATTAAATCTTATTAATTTTTTTTATGTTCTTTAAAATTTAATGTTCCTACTTTTACAAAAGTTAAAGTTATTTAATTTTTTTAAAAAATATTTGATTTTTGAAAGAAATTACTTTTAACTTCTGCCTTTTTTAGAAGCTTTGGCTTCCAAAACAAAAAAAATTGATTTTTTTTTATGACTTATGCTTTTTTTTAAAAGCAAGCATCCAAATAAACATTTTCTAAGAAGTGATTTTTTTTTTTTTTTATAAAAAATAACTTTTGGAGAAAAAAATATCATTCAAACGAGCTCATTAAAATTTGCAAATAAGTAGATATTTAAGGTTGTCCTAAATTGATTTATGCAATGAAAGACAAATTAGAGAAAATGGAGTCTTCTCAAGTTCTCGAAAAGGCACAAACCAAATTGGAATTTGGAGCCTTTTGAGTTTGACAATGACCACGAGTCACGAGGAAGAAAGTTCAAAAGTTGCTTAGTAGAATAAAGACATAGAGAAGGGTTGTTGCATGTGACGTGAGAAACAGCCCCAAGCCAAAACCCAAACCAACCAAACTACGCTTACTAATTCAACACCTTTCCATTTCTCTATGCAAACTGTTACTCAACAAAGAACAAACCCAAACCACCATTCTGTGCGCCAATGGAGACACCAAGTGCATTGTGGGACAACTGGGTCGGAGAGGCACTTGCAACCCTTGACTCACTCAAGGTCGTTCGATCTCTGAGACCCATTTTCCTCCGCAAGGAGAAACACCGAGTGCCCATTGAGAATGTATCAGAGTCTCTGCAACTTGGGGTGAACGAAGGTGCATTCGAGGTGTTCGATGAAATGCAGCAATGGGACCGGTCTTCTGTTGAAGTGGAGATTGGTGAAACCACGTTTCATAGATGGATGCATGACACCCCAAGTTCTGGTACCCTTTATAACTTTGTGTTTTTTTATGGGTGAACATTACATGTTGCAGTTCTAATGAATGTGCGAGAGTGCTTGTTATGTTAAGTTGTTAAGGTTTTTTTTCTTTTTCTCATTCATAGTTCATCATTCTTGTCATTCTCATATATGGGGTTTACCTTGTTTTTTCAAGTTTATTGGACATATTGCGTTTTGTTCTGATTACTGACGTGAACCATGCATCCTTTTGCTTTTTGGGGGGCTGGGGTTTAGGTGATGAGATTGTTTATAGTGCAGTTGCTGATGATGATGAACCAGGGGCATATCATGAGAAGTTTAAAAAGTTGATTTTGTTTTCTGGAAATGATTATCTAGGCTTGAGTTCCCATCCAACTATTGGAAGAGCTGCTGCAAAGGTGTGCTTGTGAATTTTGAATGATTTTTGAGTTCCCATCCATCTTTGTTTCTTTGGTTTTCTTAGTTTATTTATGCTCATTGCAATTATGGTCATTGTTCTAAATCAGGCAGCCCAAGAACATGGAATGGGACCAAGGGGTTCTGCTCTTATTTGTGGATATACCAATTATCATAGGCTGCTAGAATCTAGCCTGGCAGATTTGAAGAAGAAAGAGGTAAGGACTGAACTCCTTAAAATGTTCTGTTTTTGTTAGTAGTTCTTCTTTGTAGCCTGACTGAAGAGTACTTAATTGAATGTTATGATTAAACTTGAGAATCTAGAATCATTTGCCATTCTTTGGTATAATTAAATACTGTGAAATGATGCTCAGTTGACAACTTGATGCATACTTGTGATTAGTCTTTTGTCCTAGTTTGAGCATTACTTGATCTTAGTGATTTTTAGTGAAGACTATGGGTAAAAGAGGTGTTCGAACTTCAAAGTGATATATTTTATTGATGAGGAAAACAGTTCTCGTAAAGCTTGATCACACTGGTTGTGTTAGGGTGATTGTTATTACTTTGTTGATGTCCCTGAATGTTGATTAATCTATTTTTAGGGAATTAATACTTGATACGGTCTTTGCAAAGTTGAGATAATTATAATTTTCTTTATTTTATTACCATTTTTAATTACTTATAATTATGGCATCAATTATCATGATTGAATCTACTTATAAGTTGCTAAGTATAAATTAATCCCACTGGAGTCATATATATTTTCTCTGTCCACCTTCTTTTGATTCTAAGGAACTTATGGTTACATCCTTTTGAGACCCACTTATTGTATAATGAATTGAAGAAAGGACCCATATGTGACTATAAGTCTGGATTGTATGAAATGCTGACCCGATTTTGGTTTAAAATCCATGCTATAGGATTGCCTTCTTTGTCCCACAGGGTTTGCTGCCAATATGGCCTTGATGACAGCAATAGGAAGTATTGGTTCTCTCTTAGCTGGGAATAGCATACCTTCAGAGGATGAAAAGATTGCTGTCTTTTCGGATGTATTGAACCATGCATCAATAATTGATGGTATCCGTCTTGCTGAGCGGCAAAAAAGTGTAAAGGTCTACATTTATAGACATTGTGACATGTCCCACCTCAATACGCTCTTGTACGTTTCACCTTTTCCTGAAATTTGCATATTCTACTCTTTTCCACTTCTGGTCCAGTCTCTCAATATGTTGACATTGTCGTGACATCTATAATTTTAACAGATCAAATTGCAGAATGAGGAGGAAAGTTGTGGTGACTGACAGGTTAGTCATTCTGTTACTTGCATAATAGAACTCTGGAAAAATTGTTCAAGGTTTAAAATAACTACTGTGTTATATGCATATATTTCCTCACACATAACCTAAACAAGTTTTGCATGTTGAGGGCTACAATACATAAATTTCTCCTCCTACTTTTTTCCCGGACAATCTTTGGGGATGACAAATTTTATAACTATTTTAGAATTAATAAATGGAAAAATATTTCTGCAGTTAATGCAGATAAGTTATCTGCATTTATTTCCAAAACGCCGTCGTTTTGGTATTGAAATCTTAAAAAATTATAAATAAAAAGACTATTATAACTTTGAAATAAATTAAAATTACAAAAACACCATAATTTCCGCCCCAAAACGATGTTGTATTGGACTTACTGCAGATAACTTATCTGCAGTAACTGCAGAAAAAGTGAACCCATTAATAAATCATATGTTTATGTTTACTTTATACACTTGTTGAATTTTCTCCAAAGTAGCTTTTTATGCTTGCTGTTGACAGCAGTTAGTTGATAATGATTAATGGAGATATATTTTCTTGAAAATATCTTTGATTAGGAGGGTGCCTTTTTATCTTATCTGATTAGAATTCCAAAAGAATGTGTTTAAAAAGTCATTAGGGGCTGGTATAGAACTGATATATTATAGAATTGTGTAAATACTTTGTACAAAGGTTCTCTATTTATAGAAAATACAAGACCTAGAATACTTGACCTAATGGGCTAAGCCCAATACAACAAATAATAAATAAATAAATAATATTAATATTTACAACACTCCCCCTCAAGCTGGGGAATAGATATTTATCATTCCCAGCTTGCTAGTAAGCTCTTGAAATCTATCTGAAGGAAGTCCCTTTGTCAATACATCAGCTAATTGGCGCCCGGTGGGAATGTAGGGTGTGGTAATCAACCCGCTATCAAGTTTCTCTTTGATGAAATGGCGGTCGACCTCAATATGTTTAGTCCGATCATGTTGAACCGGATTATGAGCTATACAAATAGCTGACTTATTATCACATAGCAACTTCATTGGTCCCTCACATTTTATTTTGAGATCATCAAGTATAATTTTCAGCCATAGTAACTCACAAATGCCTTGAGCCATGGTTCGAAATTCAGCCTCTGCACTTGATCTGACAACCACATCTTGTTTCTTACTTCTCCATGTCACCAAATTACCACAAAGAAACATACAATAACCAGTGGTAGAACGACGGTCCGTCACAGTTCCAGCATAATCAACATCAGTGTAGACTTCTAAAGAGAGATTGCCATCTCGCCAGAATAACAGTCCTTTACCAGGAGTAGCATTAAGATACTGAAAAATTCTCTCCACTGCCTGCATGTGTTTCTCCTTTAGATCATGCATAAACTGACTGACAACACTAACAGCATAAGCTAAGTCTGGTCTAGTATGGGCCAGATATATCAATTTCCCAACTAGCCGTTGATATTGTCCTTTATCAACTGGAGGACTCTCCTCTTCAAAGCCTATCTTGTGATTCTGCTCAATAGGAGTATTAGAGGGTTTACACCCGAGCTTTCCTGCTTCTTTGAGAAGATCCAAAACATATTTCCTCTGACTGAGAAAAATTCCTTTGCTTGAATGAGCTACTTCTATCCCTAGGAAATATCTCAGTTTCCCAAGGTCTTTGACTTCAAACTCAGAGGCAAGCCGTGTCTGCAGAATCTGTCTCTCCACAAAATCATCACCTGTGATAATAATATCATCAACATATACAAGGAGCACAGTAAGCTTCCCATTTTGGGAGTGTTTGAAGAAAAGAGTGTGATCTCCTTGACTCTGTCTGTATCCTAAGGTCATCATAACCTTAGTAAACCTTCCAAACCAAGCACGAGGTGACTGCTTCAATCCATACAAGGCCTTTTTTAATCTACAAACTTTATTTTCCCCCTTCACAAAATCAAAACTAGGCGGGATTTCCATGTAGATTCTTCTTCTAACTCACCATTGAGGAAAGCATTTTTCACATCAAATTGATTTATATCCCAATTATAATGGGTAGCAAGGGATAACAAGATTCTCACCGTATTCATCTTTGCAACTGGAGCAAAGGTTTCTTCATAATCAATGCCATAGGTTTGAGTGTAACCTTTGGCGACTAATCGAGCCTTGTATCTCTCAAGAGTGCCATCAGAATTATATTACAGGGCATAAACCCATCTGCACCCTACTGCTTTCTTTCCGTTGGGTCTATCAATAACCTCCCATGTTTTATTTTTTTCCAACGCATTCATCTCCTCTTGCATGACTTGAGCCCAATTCCCATCTTTCAAGCTTCATGTACTGATTTTGGAATTGCAATAGAATCTAGTGCTGAAACAAAGCTTTTGTGCTGCACAGAAAGATTAGCAGAGGAAACAAAGTGGGAGATAGGGTATTTAGTACAAGAGGGACAGGAGGAACAAGTTTTCTTGTGACAAGATCTTTTTCCTTTTCTAAGAGCAATGGGCAAATCATCAGAATCAACATTAATGGGTAACTCATCAGAAGTATTAACATCATGATCAGAAATATGAGATTCAGGAGAAACAGGAGACTCAGAAGAAACAGGAGATTCAGGACTTACCAGTGTTTCAGACGATTGAGGTTGCTGGTGAGACAGTATGAGTTGTTTCCTCTTCTGATATACCAATTTAGGTGTCAAAAATTTCCGTATCTCAGGAGTATTTGAAGGTTCTGACACACCAGGAGCAGATACACTAGGTAGAGAGAAGACTGATCCAGGCTCAAAGAAGGAAGGGGACGAGTCTTCTGAAGAACTGTTCTCCCCCTGACGATGAGGACCCAGGAAATAAGATTCAGATTCTTGAAAGGTGACATCCATAGAAACAAAAAATTTTCGACTTGGTGGATGATAACACTTGTACCCTTTTTTATAAGGGGTATAACCAAGGAAGACACACTTAAGAGCCCTAGGATCCAACTTACTCCGATGTTGTTTATGAACATGGACAAAGGCAACACATCCAAACACTCTTGTGGAAGGCTCTGCAATATGGGAACAGAAGGAAAGAAGGAAGTCATGGAATGAATAGGACTGATATTGTTAAGGACCCGGGAAGGTAAACAGTTGATCAAAAAAGTTGAAGCTAACACTGCTTCTCCCCAATAAGAACTAGGAACAGATGTCTGGAAAAGTAGTGCTCTAGCAACTTCAAGAAGGTGACGATTTTTCCTTTCAGCAACCCCGTTTTGTTGAGGGGTATCAACACATGTGAGCTCATGAATCATACCTCTGTTTGAAATGAATTGTGACAGGCGTTGATTGACGTACTCAGTACCATTATCAGATCTGAGTTTTTTAATACCTTTACCAAACTGAGTCTCAACCATGTGATGAAACCGAATAAATATCTCTGGTACTTTAGACTTGTCTTTCATCAAGTATATCCATGTTACCCGAGTACAATCGTCAATAAAAGAAACAAACCACCTTGCACCTGAAACACTGTGCACTTTAGAAGGGCCCCAAACATCAGAATGGATAAGAGAAAAAAGTTCCTCGCTTTTAATAGTGCTAGAAGGAAATGACACTCGATGGTGTTTTGCAAATTCACAAACATCACAATGAAAGGTCTCAACCGACTTATTGAGAAACAGAGAGGGGAACATAGACTTCAAAAGACTAAATGGTGGATGCCCCAGACGCTTGTGATGGAGCCAAATCATAGACTCTGCAATAGAAGGATGACGTGTCATTAATAACTGATTTTTGCTAGCATGGTCTGGAAGGAGATGATACAACCCATCCTGTTCATTAGCAACTCCAATTGTCTTCTTCGTGGTAAGATCCTGAATAACACAAGGAGAAGGAAAAAATGTGATAGAACAATTCAAATCAGTTGTAAGCTTTTGAGTGGAGATAAGATTAGTAGAAAGCTGAGGAACATAAAGGACATTCTTAAGAAACAAGGAAGGTTGAATTTGAATGTTACCAGAACCAATAACTGATTTATGGGATCCATCAGCTACGGATATAGTATGACTACCAACAGTAGGATGATAAGAACAAAACAACTCAGTACGACAAGCCATATGATCAGTTGCACCAGAATCCAAAATCCATGAGGTTTTAAAATCAGTGCAAGAAGCAAGAAGAGATGTAGAACGTGTGTTCTTACCAGATAAGATCAAAGAACGGTCATATGGCTTACACATATTATCAATAGCGGGTTTAAGCTGATCCATGGAGATGAGACAAAAAACACAAGCAGGAAATTTTTTTTTTTTTTTGTGAACAGTACCCGATGAACAGTACCGCGTGAATAGTGCGCGATGAACAATACCGTTTTTTTTTTTTTTTGAGCTGTTTCGGTCGTCTGATGAAAAAGAAACCTCCGTAGAATGATAGATCTAAGAAAACGGAGTGAAACAGGGGTCCTCACGATCCAAAAGGTCTTCGAAAATTTTTTCCGGCGGCGAGAGGCAAATAAGGTTGGTTTTTGAAGATGGTGATTTGCGGAAGCAGAACCCTCAGAATCGAGAGCTCTGATACCAACTTGAAAAAGGTATTCTGATATATTATAGAATTGTGTAAATACTTTGTACAAAGGTTCTCTATTTATAGAGAATACAAGACCTAGAATACTTGACCTAATGGGCTAAGCCCAATACAACAAATAATAAATAAATAAATAATATTAATATTTACAACATCTTTGATTAGGAGGGTGACTTTTTATCTTATCTGATTAGAATTCCAAAAGAATGTGTTTAAACAGTCATTAGGGGCTGGTCCTTGGTAATTCTTCGGGGTAAAATTTCTATATTCAGGAAGTGAGTATGAGTTAATTGCTTTATTGATATCTCTCTCTCACACACACACTCAAACACAGAGGTCAGGATAGATTCTGATTAGTTCCTTTTGAGAATTTGAATCTGGAATATTGTAATTGACAATATTTAGATATCCCTTTTTGGTTTGGAATGACAGTGATTATATATTTCATTATGAATGTCTTTAGTTTTGAGCATTTATATGTGTGGTATATCTAGAGTTTATTCTGCTATACCGCTATAGTGTTTTCGGAGTCAGCCGTGACCGGCCGCAATCTACATTTGACAACTATTGTACCACCTTCCCCTTCAAATCTACTTACTTTCCAGAGAATAGACAGTGGATGGCAAGCATGTCTTGTTTAGTAAATATTAAAAGTTTTGTCACCCAGAGTAAATCCATTGTGAATAATTCTGCTGGATGCTTTGATAAAATCATAAAGGCCAAAAAATGTTTCCTAAATAGAAGTCAAAGCTTTTCCAAAATTATGCATTATTTAAACTAGTTACTCATAACTGATTATTTTGATTGAGCTATTTTATCACTGTTTTAACTGCAAGAATAAAAAGGGAGGCATATCACTATATTTCTACCTTGAAGATATATTGAAGTGATTAATTGTTATTAAAGGGGACGAACCGGAGCAGTGGTAAAACTGTTTCTTCATGACTGAAAAGTCATGGGTTCGAATTCAGGAAACAGCCTCTTTGCAATTATGCAAGGGTAAAGCTGCATATAAGGATTTCCTCCATCCCACATTCGCTAGTCGGGTTTAACTGGGAGTGGTTTTTTTTTTTTATTATTGTTTCTCTATATTCCTTATAACATTGACATTTACCTAATACTTCTTTGCATATAATTTTACATGTGCATTAAGGTTCATCTGATTTGTTGCAGCTTGTTTAGCATGGATGGAGACTACGCACCAATGGTTGAGCTTGCAGAACTTCGCAAGAAGCATGGGTTTTTGTTAGTCATTGATGATGTAAGACCTCTTAATATGTTTTACCAAATGTCTTTTTCTTCCTGAAGAGTATCATATACTGTTATGTACATGGTCCTTGGACTAACTTTAATACTGAAGAAGAGCTCGAGATAATAATCATAGAACAGTTATAGCATAATATATATGTTCCTAGAAAGGAATTACCCACTCAGATTGCCATATATTGTCTTCTGACTGAATATTTTAGTGATACAAGAAAAATATGACTTCTCATTGCTACAAAGTCTAGTGCAACTTTAAACTAGCAAAATAAAAATCTGCGTATATCCAGGCTCATGGAACATTTGTTTGTGGTCAAAATGGTGGTGGTGTTGCTGAGGAGTTCAACTGTGAAAAGGATGTGGACATATGCATTGGTACACTAAGTAAAGCTGCAGGTTGTCATGGAGGATTTATAGCATGCAGGTAACTGTTTGAGTGCACTTGCTTCTCAAGTTAAAAAGTAAGGGATAATGATTTCATGCTTTTTTTATAAGATTCTGCACAACATTGGTGCAACACAAATTATGTTTCATGAATAGTTTGCCAATGACTTTTGCTATTCTATGAATTCTTATAGCAAAAGGTGGAAGCTCTTAATACAGTCAAGAGGTCGTTCATTTATATTTTCAACTGCTACCCCAGTTCCAGTTGCTGCTGCTGCTCATGGTGAGCTCCAGTGTTGCACTTGAATTGATAGGATTTCCAAAAAATGGAAACGAAATTTTCATTTGCACTTTATTCATTTGTTAGTAGCTCCTATTTCTAAGTATTTCTAAGTATTTTATGCTTACTCTGGTCCTTCATATTTATCAAGTTATATCCTTATATAATGTAGTCCTGTGATAGATTTCTTATGTATCATTTTCACTCCCAAAATCATCTTATAATTTAGTGGAGTAATGCTATTTTCCTGACTGTTGCATTTACATTATTGCTCATCTGTAAATCATTTAAATTTAATAGGGAAAATGTCAAATTTGGACCGCCTGAATTCAGATGAAGCAATCTATACAGTTATGCATATTTGTGAAAACTAGAGTCATTTACACAAGAGTTAGTAATTTTAATCTTATGCAAAGGAAGAACTGTTTGGTATAAGCACGGTGAAAGTGACTGTCATCTAGCTTGGAATATTTTTCTAGAGATTAAAAATTAAAATATTATCATTTCTTTTTGTTACTGTTTAGCTACTCATCTCTTGTGGGAATTACTTAAAAAAAAAATCGCTCCCCTTTAAACCCGACTAGTGAGTGTGGGGTGGAGGTAATCCTTGTACGCAGCCTTACCCTTGGATAATTGCAAAAAGGCTGTTTAGCTACTCATCTCTTGTGGGAATTACTTATTTGTCAAAAACATGATGCAATTTTCCAGCTGCTGTTAAAGTGGCGAAACTTGAGACATGGCGCAGAAAGGCTATTTGGAACCGGGTGAAAGACTTTCATTTGCTCACAGGAATCCCTGTTACAAGTCCCATTATATCCCTAATCGTAGGCAGTGAAGACAAAGCACTGCAAGCAAGCCGGTAAATTTCCATCCCTCACTTTCTCTCCCAGCTTCACAACTAGGCACTTCAACACTAAGCAATTTTAGTCTTTTTTGGAACAGGTATTTATTGCAATCTGGCTTCCACGTGACTGCAATCAGACCACCAACCGTGCCTCCTAACTCATGCAGGTTTATATACTATATTTTTGCTTGAATTACAATCTGATAGTTAAATAGAAATTGTCATCAATCAAACTCTCCTAAAGGCTTAACTTATTCAGCGGATAATGTAAATGTTCATTAAATTTAACTTTTTTGAAGAAGAATAGGAGATGCAAGAATTGAATTCTAAACCATTTGTTCATAAAAGTTCTTATACCATATCGTGAACAAACACTCTCAAAAGCTTAAACTGTTCCGTGAAAACCCATGAATGATTTTATATTTTACATTTATTTGGTTGGTTGTATGTTGTTTCCATATTTACATGTTATTTTTCTTTTCATCACTATTATTTAGGCTGCGTGTAGCCCTGAGCGCAGTTCATACAAGGGAAGATTTGGAAAACCTAGCAGCTGCACTCTCCCGTTGCATCAATTTCAAAGACACCCGTATATATAGCTGCAATGGCTATGCAAGACTGTAGCTTTGATTCTTTCAGAATGAATTGCATCAATGTGACTCACTATACCTGAAATAAGTACACACCATTAGTACCTTTATTAGCAGTTCGAGTCAATTGAATTTCATTTAGAGTGGTTGCTTGTTCCTTCATCGAAAGCCAAAATGGGAAGCTATTTTGTCAACATTTAGATAAATATTGTTAAATAATGATAATTGGATGTATTAATGTTAGTCCACTTTTAGTGTAAATTCATTTTATTTTATTATGCCATTATCAGATCATGCATAACCACATCAATTTCCGAGACACCCGTATATTTTAAGGATCACTTGAACTTCGGCAACTTGATGATTCGCTATTTTTGAGATTATTTTGCACTAACTTAAAACAAAAAAAGAAAGAGAAAAAAAAAAGAATTTTTCTTTTATTGATCTTGCACTGATAAAAATTGTTAACAATTAACATCGTTTAATAAAAAGGTGTTGAATTTATATATCCAGAATGCTTAAATACCCCTTTAGCGCAACTTTAGGACTAAGAGAGTTGGGTATGTAAATAATTATCACCAGCACCCTTTTAATGCTAAAACCCGATTCTGCATATGTTGAAATTATTCACTGTTACTCATTGGTAAATTTAATGTGAAAGCAGAAAGTGTTAGGATAAAAAGGCTTATTAAAACCGAATTGGTATATGTTGGGGACTTAGGATTTTATTATGGTAATATGTTATAAATTAATGGGAAGAATGGCAATGACTTGGAAATTATAGGACTAATATGGATTTTCCACTGTTATCGAATTGAGGTATTAACTCTTAAGTCAGAAAATTCAACTTAGTCTAGGGATCATGAAAAACCGAATTGTATGTATAGAAACAAATTACAGAATAAGAATTAGAAGCATGAAAATTTGTTGATAAATTATAGGCATAACGTGAAATCAATTCTGACTTGTCACGCAGGTATTTAGGTGCACGTAACTCTTATTGAGTGAGCTGAACTTTGGTGCTGTTGATTATTGCATGGACATAAGGTAAGTGTTTGGTGGTATTACCTAATGTGACTATTAGCTAGTGTATAGAATTGTGAATTGTTGCTCACATGTGCCTTGGATTAATGTGCTGTTATATGCTATATATATATGCTGCCTATGAATGTGACAAGATGGAAAATCATGAATGAGAAGTAATTGTTATGTGGCAGCTTGGTACAGAAAGTACATGAAAGATATGCTATTATGATGATGATCTAGTCATGCATATACATCTCATAATTCATTTGTTTCTTGTTTGTGTGTGAAGCATATCATGACATACATGCACGAATTTCATGCTGTTCATGGACTAGGATACTTATATAAATATGTATACGATTGAGCACGCATCATATAGGCATCCCTTCGGTACCAGGGTATGAGACACTTGGCTTCTGTTCGCATAGGCCACAGTTGGAATTCACCTTTGAGGGAGCCATTATGGAATATCCACTGTGTATGTACGCGAACGACGGTGCTATGAGCGTAATGATGACGTTATATACGCACTAATGATATGTTAGTATGCGCACGAAGGTGCTATGAGCGTAATGATGACGTTATATACGCACTATGATATGCTAACGGAAAATGAAATGTTGATGTGACTGTTTACAATTTTGTGCCTAGTTTAATATTGGTTTTGCAATCACACTACTGAGATTTTTCTCACCCCTTTGGGGCTGCTATTTTTATAAAATGGCAGGAGGACGCAAAAGCATATGAGGACATGGATTATTTGGATATTTGTTGTTAAATTCTACTGTTTGGACTTGCTGCTGTTGTTGTTTTATTTGATGGATGACTGTATTATTTTGAGGAGTTTGGATTAACTGTTGAACTATGATTTTACTGTTGTCTTAAGACTTTTATGATCAGTTAGTGCTTTGAGTAAAATTCTGAAAACGTTTTGCGAATTACCTTTTTCTGAACATTCATTAAGTGCTGATTTTTAAACAGTTTTGCGAGCACTCTACGAGTTAAGTTAAGAGGGGCAAACGACCTCTGATTTACTATTATTTTATATGCACGCGAAGCCCCAGACGTGCTCTTTCTATATTACAAAAAATATTTTTGTGGGTCGTTAAACTTGATTTTATACGAATTTTTCAAGACAGAAACGTCTGCTAGGAAAATAATATTTTCAGCAAGTTAAGAAATTTTTGAAAGTGCACTCTGATTTTTGTAAGTGACTCGATTTCAATTATAAGTTTTAATTAGCAACCTCAAAATGATTCTTCAGTATCAAAGTAATGACGTCAAAAACTCTAATTCCGCTTAGCAAACAACTCTCTTGGATGCATACAAGAGAGGGTGTTACACAACTCTAATTAAAATAGAGAAAAATTACACATTAATTTAAAATTTGAAATTCGAATTTCGGGCACCATGACCATCTCCTTCCAAATTGCACCTGAAAATTTAAACAGCTTGCAAGCACATAATATCAAATATTATATAAATATTTCCTCACATATATTTTGATAATTTAACAATTAAAATATCAAAATAAGAATCATAATTCAAAAATTTTCCAATTTTCTCTCAATGGTCGAATTTTGCATCTTTATGCATAATTCAAATCTCTGTCAAATCTTTCTCAAAGATCACAAAAATTAAACCATTTATTCAACCATAACTCATATGGCCGAACCATACATCATCATATAAAAAATTTTTATTAAATTAAATCATGGAGAAAATAATGCATTTGAATATTGACATCATGGCAGAATCATATTCCCTTTTCAAAAAAATGTTTCTTTTGAAAACTTTCACAAAGAATCAAAACAAACAAAACCATGAGGTCATGTAGATATATGAACACCATAATCATATTAAACATGTTCATAAAAAAATCCACATACAAAGAATTAATCTTTAACAAAAAGACCTTTTGACCGTGAGAAAACTAATTTTACAAACAAAGTACCATCACCCGCCGATGGTAAAGCGACTGGGCTCTGATACCACTTGAAAGTAAAATGGCCTTGAAGGCCGTAGCATGTGGGAGGGAAAAATAAAATTTTTCACATGCGGAATTACACATGCAATCAAGAATATGTTTTATGGCATGTGATGTTACCTTTGTTTGTGAGTTCAAAACTCCAAGACGATCAGTGTTAGGTTTGAAGGGTTCAAACCCTCTAACGTTGATCCACACCACCCACGTCAAGATGCAAGAACGCTTTCTTGAAAGCCACCAATTGACCACCACAGAGAGGCTTGCTATGCGCTTAATAGGTGAAGAAGGAGGCTAGGTATATGTGTTTAGAAGAGTGAAGTCTCCAGCATGAAAACTTCACAAGAATGGGAATGGTATATAGGAGAATTGGTTAGGTTCTTTTGAAAAACCTTAAGGAGGAACTCACCAACTAGGCGCACAAGAGAGGGAGAGAATTAGTGTATTAAATCAGAATTTTTACTTTACTTATAATGAAAGTGGTGCACAAGTGAGTGAGACAAAGGTGGAGTTGTTGCAATTCAAAAATCCCAACAACCTCCCCTTTGAATCCTTATAAGACTAGGTCTTTATCTAGTCAAAATTCTGAACCAATGGTCATCATATGACCACCAATTCATGCGCCCCTATTCAGCCCAAAAAGGGTCCAGATACATTTGAGCTGTTGCATTCAAGTTTCAACCAACTAGCTCACTGATTCTCTCAACAACCAAATCTGATTGGAGCTTGTTGGTTTGACAAGATGACAATCATCTCCCACCAAAATGGTGCCCCAAATCAGCCCTTGGAGATCTCCATAGATCTTCTCTTGATACAAGGGATTTGTTCCAATAAGATCTCATCTTATCCTTTTGTTATGAAATAACTTTTCATAGCCAATTCAAATTCGAATTCAAACATTTAAATTCAAACGTTCAAACATTTAAATTCTAAATTCAAATTCAAATTTCAATTTCAAATTCAAAATTCAAATTCAAATTTTAAATTTCAAAATTCAAATTTCAAATTTCAAATTTCAAATTCAAAATTCGAATTTCAAAATTCAAATTCAAATTTCAAATTTCAAATTTCAAATTCAAATTTCAAAATTTAAATATTTGATAATTAATTTAAAAATTAAATTAATTAGTAATGTCTTAGACCATCCAAGCCCATTAACAATACCATGCGCCCTCTCCCTCTTAGGTGGACTTCCAAACTTCATCTTGGGCTAACAACCATTATTAGGCCCAATACCTTTAATGCTATATCATCATGACATTAAGGTGGTAGAGTGTGACCCATTAGGTCCAGCATAGCCACTGACATAAATGGGCTCGGGCCCAACAAGCCCACAACCCATTTAATGACAACACAGAGCACTAGCAATGCTTTGTTGCCCCAGAGCTAGTTAGATTAATGACTTGATCATCCTATTACACATATTTGGTTGCCGTATGTATTTCTTTTCGTCTCGGTTATCTTCCCATAAAACCTAGGGTAAGGAAGCGTATCAACCCTTGTGGTTTAGGGTAAGCTTTATTCGAAATAGGGAATCTTCAATTTACTGACTCTAAAGGCAGATCATCTCATGATCTCTTTTACTATGCATAGATTCCCGAGTCCCTGTAAATGTCATCCCGATTTCTCCGGTTTACAGATAACCTAATCTCTCACAGAGATTTGACGAATTCCTTCAGCTTATCACCCTAGCCCTGTGCTCTTTCAGGACAAGCCCAATAGTATACCTATGAGTCTCCATGTTTCAGGCAGACGAGGTATACAGTCAAAGCATGCCTTCTAGAACACAGTCTAGGTAATAACTTCTGGTCTAAGGAAAGACATACCCAAATATAAAGAGACTACTCTAATGATACTCTCTGTGAGATTTCCTCTAGAGTCTCTTTTGTGGGTCTGTTCGGTGCGAGCTATACCCTTATAGATCCACCCACGACTTTAGCTAAGACATCTCCATATCTGTAGCTCATGAAGTCTTTACCTTGCATCCGAATACAAGTAGATAAGTCGTGCTAGTCTTACCCGAGATCACTGATCCCCATTCTCAGTGTCTCTAGACTAGGAACATAAAATTAGGAATAAATATCCAGTATCCTTGAATCCTCATGATCGTGATCTCATCACAGATACTCCAGAGATACCTATTTTATTCCAAGGGGTTTATCCAGTTACTCATATAAAATATTAACAGTAATATTGAGACAAAATATGAAACATGATAAATAGTGCTTTTATTTATTTGCGACAATACAAAGGTCCACATATGTCCTAATCTAAGTAAAAGATTGTCTCTAGGACATCCATATACTAACATCATAAACAAACTCAACATCCTTACATAGCATAGAGGAAGAAACTTTTTCTCCCGTGGCAGTCTTAACCACCATCGGAGGTTTAAAATCATATAAAGGCATATTCAAACCAATTGCAACAAAACTCGAAACAAACGAGTGAGTAGCTCCAGTGGCAAACAAGACACTCATATCAATGCCATCTATAAAATTCGTACCTTTAACCAAATTCGGAGCTCTCTCAGACTGCTGTGGATCCAGTGTATAAACACGTCCCGTAAAAGTAGGAGCCTGAACAATTAGAATCTGATCCACAGAATTTGGAATAGTCTGATTTGGGATAACTTGTAAAGGTGAAGCATGAAAAGGTATAGCCTGCATAGCTGTAGCACGTCCCCCGAGCTTTGGACAATCCCTTATATAATGACCTGTCTGGCCACACTTAAAACATAAGTTTTGATCTCTCCTGCAGATACTAGGATGCATCTTACCGCACTTGGAACACTTCGGAAAATATTTGAAATTTCCATTCTGGGGATTCCCAAGTTTCTTGAATTCATCACCAGATTGCTTGACTTGTAAATTCTTTCCTTTGCCCTTGTTTTTCCACATTGATTTCTGCTAGTGGAAACTTTCGAATCAGACTCCTTACCATCAGAAGACTTCTTTGACAGGTTACAGACATCCACAACTTTCTTGCATTGATTAACCAAGGTAGCAAAATCTCTAGATCCGTTACAGGCCATCAATTCTGCAATCTTCTCATTTAAACCCCTTTGAAACTTGGCAGCTAGCAATTCAGATGAAGGCATAACGCCTCTATAGTTTGCAAACTTAACAAGTTCATTAAACTTAGCTAAGTAATCATCGATAGACTTAGGGCCTTTAACAAGTCGTTCAAACTCTCCTTGTTTCCTTTCTCTAGCATCTTGAGGAAAATATTTCTCCAAGAATAGACCCTCGAACATATGCCAAGTAATGACATGACCTTGCAATTCTAGAGGTTGAGTAGTATTGAACCACCATTCGTTAGCATCTCCCTCCAACATATAAACGGAGTACAGAAGTTTCATCTCATCCTGACACCTCATAACCCTAAGGGTGTGTTTGGTACAAGAGAAATTTTTTGGTGATCGGGAATCATGATTAATGGGAATTCAGTAGAAATTGAGTTTACTTGGAATCTTACGAAAGATGTGTTTGGTTCGCCAAAATATTACCGGGAATATTGGGTAAAGATTACTGATTCCATATTTGGTTTAGAACGAAATATGACTTGGAATATGAGGTTATTTTACAAAAATAACCCCAAACTATTTTTACTTTTGTAATTGATAGATTGAGTCTAGATTTTTATGTGTATTGGGGTATTTTTGTCTCAAAATTTATTGTTGTGCTTTCCCTTTACTTGGTATTCTGATTGGTATTCCGAATTACCATATTATTTTTGGTAATCTGAATAGTGACTTTTCTTCATAAATCAAATTACCGGTAATCCTTGGATATCCGGGAATCGTAATTTATTCCTTCTACCAAACGTGGTAATTACATTTACCAAAGAAGGATTACCGGTAATCCTCTCCAAAAACTTGAACCAAACACCCCCTAAAGATCTTTTCTATGGCTTGAAGCCAATTAGCTGCTACGATAGGGTCACGAGTTCCACAAAAACACGGAGGCTTGTGTTTTTTAAATGCAATTAATCTTCTTTCATCATCATCTATCTGCATCCAAACATTTTCATCATGATGACGAGCTTCTACATTCAAATGGACGACACCAGCACCAGCTCCTCCTTCTGCATACATAACTTGACATGGTGAGAGTGGTTGAGGCTGCGACTGTGGTTGTGGCTGTGGCTGTGGCATAGGTGCATGTGGCGGCTGATTTACATTCATACCAGCCCTAAGTTCTTCCATCAAAATCCTCATCATATGCTCATTATTAATTCGATTGGAATCCAGCATCGCTTGATAAGCTTGTCGATTGGTATCCATATCAACTTGTCTATTAGCATCCATTTGTTATTGCATTTCAACCAAATCTGTGGGTACAAGATCTGGCTGACGACTCGATGATCCCTGAGTTCTCCTAAGAGGTACCATGACTCTGCATATGTTACACAAAGGAATGAGTTGATCAGGCCCACACTAAGTGGTCACACCTGCTTAATCATAGTAACTACCTAGAATCACTACAGAGTATCTAACTTATGGCAATACATAAGGAATTTCCTAGACCATGCTCTGATACCATAATGTAACGCCCCAATTTCATTAATCAGATTGTTAACTTACATATGGTACTTTTGTGCGCATGAAAATTTCTTTAGCGGAAGACTTTATTTGCATCTCACCATTACCTAGTGTAATTAGGTGAGTAAACTTTTTCTTTTTCTTTTTATATGTACTGCCATGCTTAATTCATTATTGAATCTCTTATTATTATCTGTACAGTCTCATACCTGTACAGATTTCTTAATTATTTTCCATAACTTATAAATAATCGTAACTAATACATAACTGAAGAAACTGAATATACATCATATTTTATACTGAATATCAAACTCATACCAAATACATACTGAAAGTAACAACAAACATATCAAATTGTTCATAGGCTACATATGCCTAACAAAATAGATGTCAACTATAACATGCATCATATCTAATCAGGTCTCAATAACATATGTCAATACATAAAACTACTATTGCAACTTTATCTTCTAGACACTCTGCATTGGCCTCTTGCCCTGAGTATGCTCTCCTGCTACTGATGTACCTATGATTTAAATCACAGCCCACGACGGGTGAGAAATTAATTTCAATAAGACTCTGGGTTTATGAAGTAATCTCCACCCATGAGTTCACTTACTGCATGAAAAAATAGATACAGAGCATAGAAAACATCATATAAACATCTCATAACTTATAACTTATCAGAAGACTCCCAAAGCATAATTTCTCACTTCGACCAGTCTATGAACTCCCAAAGCATAATTTCTCACTTTGACCAGTCCACACTTATTCTCCGAGAACCGAAGTCCCTCCACGGAGTTGTTCATTGATCAAGAACAATACTTATCATATCATATAGTCTACATGAATGCAACTATACTAAGTATCTGACATATAAAACATACAAACATACAGATATCCTAACCATCATCCCACTGGATTATGGTGGATCAACAAGAAAGGAGAAAACTCCTTAAACCAAAAGCTTAACTGTAAGCAGCTTTCCTTATACTTAATACTTGAAACTGATCCGCTTAACTCACTTCTCTTGATTCCAAACTAAAATACATAAACATGGACATCATTAACTATCAATCCAAAACTTTCTTAAATTCGTAGAAATCTACGTTTTCCATGCATTGTTCGAAATCTTCCTTACTTACATAATCTTACTTATTCATTTATGGCAACCAACAAGTCTCTATATTAAACATTTAGACTTCACATATTAAAATACATAGACTTTCTACTGAAAATTCTAACATATCCGAAACATAGACTTAGAAACAAACTTACAAATTTCTTACCTTTTAACTTAACTTAACCATAACTTATCTCTTAAAACAACTTAAAATAATCTTAATTCAACTTATAAAAATCTCTAACTTACTTATTATTACATCATATATTCGAAATATTCACATGATTTCAGACCATCCTTTTTCATTTCTAAACCGTTCAACTTAGGCTTTTACCCATTAAAAACCTATACAAACACTAAAACATCATAAAAACCATCATACAAGACCATATGAATTCTTAAAAATCATTTTCATAAAAGACCCATAAATTGATAGATAGAAGCTTAATTTAACAATTCTAATCGTAGAAATTGAGAGTTTATACCTTAGATAGGTTAACGGGACCCAGAAATCAACTTAGAACCGAACAGACTAAAACAAAAACATCCTTTTTCAAGGAGGCATCAAGGAGCTCATGGCTAAAGGTGGCCATATCTCACTCATATGAACTCCTATAGATGTTCTAAGACCAAGGCTATGATCACAGGATCCTATACTATAAGTTTCATGAAATAGGATTTTTGGAGAAAAAAGCTAAAACATGATGAAAATCTCACTCTATTCTCTCTTAACATGTGCGCCTAAAACCATGAAGAAAATGCTCTTGGATGATAGCCTATATATAGGCATAAGGCCATGACATCCAAGGAGTAAAAGAGAAAGCTTAACGATGAAGATAACTTAGCGAGCAAGTTTCCATGACTTAATGACTAAGTTTCCACGACTTGGTGAACAAGTCACTTTACTTAGTGTGCAAGTTAACTTAGTGAGTAAGTTATCTTAATGAGTAAGTTAACTTAACTTGGAAGAAAAGTCACACTAACTTAGCGGCTAAGCAACTCAAGTGGTGTCATGGAGAAGCTACTTACGTAACTTAAGGACTAAGTAACTAAACTTGTAGAATAAGCTAACTTAGTGACTAAGTTTTCTCAAAACTTAGAGACTAAGTCTTGAAAAGTAGTGTGATGAAGAAGCTATCTAGATAACTTGTAGGACAAGCTACTAGATGACTTGTTTAACAAGTAAGCTTATGTGACTTCTTGAAGAAGTTATCATAGTAACTTAGTGACTAAGTAACCCAAACTTAACGACTAAGCAATTGAAACATGACTTCCTTAAGAAGTTATCTTGATAACTTAATGACTAAGTAAACTAAACTTAACGACTAAGTAACTGAAACGTGACTTCCTGAGGAAGCTATCGGAATAACTTAATGACTAAGTTAACTAAACTTAATGACTAAGTAATTGAAACTTAATGGCTAAGTTATTGAGGTAACTTGTAGAACAAGTAACGTACTTTGACCAACAAGTAAGGTTACTTAACTGACAAGAAAGCTAAGATTACTTGATAAACAAGAAAGGCAACTGAGAAACTTAGACAACACACCACTTAACCTTTATATGAAATAACTCTACTGTTTTTCATTTTCTCTAACCTTAGCTTATTTTTCATAATTATTCTACTCATAATTAACATACCTTTATACCACTTAAAATTCATGAAATTTTTTAAAGAATTTGATTTTACTATCAGAATCTAGTTTAGACCTTGTTTCACTAATTTGCAAAATGGTACCTAAACAGTCTCATAATTTTGACTTTTGACCTTAACATCCAAATATTACTAATAAGATCCTAATTGACTTGCTTGGCATAAATGACATTTCCATAATTAATATCACGATAATTTCATGATTAACATATCAAACTTAGTTAAATCCTTAATTTCATATACTTATTGATATGGGTTGTTATACAATACCTTTGTAGGTGTTGAGGTGTTCAATCATACTCATGCCATCCTTGTATTCCAACTTCACAAGTCGGCAAACCAGGTGTGCTTTGTTCCTGGGAGTCTTCTTTTGAATCAAGGACTCTAATTTCGTCCACAACTCGTACGCGTTCGTAAACTCGGACACGTGCTTAAAGAGGCTCTTGTCAATATATTTTCTTATTGTAGCTACCGCCTTACGACTCTGGATCTCCCACTCCTTATCGGTCTTGCCTGCCGGTCTCCCATCAAGGATAATGGGCTCATGTAAATCTTTACAGTAGAGATAATCTTCCATCATCGGTCTCCAATAGGTGAAATTGTCTGCGGTCAGCTTGAACATGTCTCCATCATTGGTTATGCCATTGGTCTCCATCTCGTCTCCCTCAGAATTGTCGAACTCGAGCTCTGATACCACTGTTGGGAAAACTCGGTTCCCTCAAACTCGGCTTCCATAGCCTTTTGCGGAAGTCAGTCAGCAAGATCCTGATCTCGGATCTTGGCAATACCTCGGCCTGAACTTCACCAGGTCGGGCAGCGCAGCGGAAAATCAAAACGAAAAATCACAAAACAGGAGAGAGAGAGAGAGAGAGAGAGAGAGAGAGAAGAAGAAGAAGAAGAACACAACCAGATTTAACGTGAAAAAATCTTCTTCAATGATGAAGTAAAAATCCACGGGACCTAGTCCAGATCAAAAGTACCTAGTCCAGATCAAAAGTCCACTATGAAAATAATGGTTACAAAGAATCAAATACACCAATGTGGTGGTCAACCTTTGCAATAATGGTGATAATCAAACTACCCTAGAGATGTTTCACTAAAACTCTCTCTAGAGATCTCTCAAATGCAAAGCATAAAGCTTTGCTCAAACTCTCAAATAATTATCTCTCAAATTGTTCTCTCTCATTCTAACCTAGCCTCCACCCACAACTAATGAATATATAGAGGAGGTGGAATTTAGGGTTAGGGTTTTTAGGAAACCTCTCAATGGGCTTGGGCTTAGCATTGAAGGAGGAAGCCCAACAGATCTTACATCATAATTGTTTTATCTTAGGCTTGCCCTCATATTAGCCTTCATTTTCAGTCTTGCAGGGCGTCATACCTTAGTTTATATGATTCAAAGAAAGAAGATCTTACACAAAGAGTTTCTTTCTCGTGGATTTTGAATCAAGAAAAGGAACAAGCTGAATACATTCTTCCTCCGAGGAACTTTAGTTCTTTAATTCTACTGATTCAACTTCATCGTGACACGTTTTCTTTTAACATATATTTTATTAATTGTATTTTAATTTTGTATTATCTCGTCAAACTCTTTTTTCCTTGCTTTGCTATAAATCACCTTTTTTTCTTGTTTCTTTTTCAATAGATGATTCTATTGATGGTGATTTACATCTTTCATTTTTAGAAATATTCTTTAAAGTAGGCTATTCCAATTTCAGTGCTCCACCTCATTCATGTGCAGCCTTTGTGCCGCCTTTGTGCTCCACTTCATCTTTTAAATTCTTTGCATTCATAGCTAATAGCTATTGAATTGAATATAAAAATAATTAAAAAAACTCCTTCCTAACACAACTTAACAGCGACCAATGAGGCAAGTATCTTAGATCAAAATATGTTTATTTTTTAAAATGGAAGTTAATTTTTTTAAAAATGTTTAATCTTTTGTAAATGCAGTTCAACATTGGAACTTGGTACTGGCTCACGAACAAGAGGATCTCGGTGGTGGCTTCTTGAAGACATCAAGAAGTGAACTGAAAGCTTTGGGTCTTTGAGGAGATTCTGGTACCACAACTGGGTTTATATGTTTGTGGTTGTTCTTCTCTATTGAATCTTCAGTTGTATCTTTGATACTTGTTGATTTGGGTTTCTGATTTGTACTTTGTTATTTGGGGCTTTATTTGGGTGATTTGCACTCAGTTGTTTCTTGATTGGTTGTGTATATGTTCAAACTCTTATTCTGTTCTAGTGCAAGTACCAGGGAGTTAAATTTCTAATTGACCCTTGATGTAGTAAACTTGGTAACACAAGTTTCTGAACAAGTAAAATTTTGTGCGTCTCTTTTTCTTTTTCTCAAATCTTTTAATTTCTGCATGTTATTTTTACAACAGCCTTCATTTTCATTCTTGCAGGCTTCATATCTTAGTTTATATGATTCAAAGAAAGAAGATCTTACACAAAGAGTCTCTCTCTCGTGGATTTTGAATGAAGAAAAGGAACAAGCTGAAGACATTCTTCCTCCCAGAGAAACTTTAGTTCTTTAATTCCACTCGTTCAACTTCATTTTTAACATATATTTTATTAATTGTATTTTAATTTTGTATTATCTCGTCAAACTCTTTTTTCCTTGCTCTGCTATAAACCTCCTTTTTTTCTTGTTTCTTTTTCAATAGATGATTCTATTGATGGTGATTTGGATCTTTCATTTTTAGAAATATTCTTTAAAGTAGGGTATTCCAATTTCCGTGCTCCACCTCATTCATGTGCGGCCTTTGCAGCAAGAAACCAAAGTGCTTCATCTTTTAAATTCTTTGCATTCATAGCTAATAGCTATTGAATTGAATATAGAAATAATTAAAAAAATCCTTCCTAACACAACTTAACAGCGACCAATGAGGCAAGCCTCTTAGAGCAAACTATGTTTATTTTTTAAAATGAAAGTAAATTTTTAAAAAAATGTTTAATTTTTTCTTTCTTCACAAAGAACAAAGAGAGAAAATAATTTTTTTTTATCATCAAATTGTAAACAAAAGGTTAAAAGTAAGAATAATCGGATATTGATATTTTTATAATTTGTATCCACCATAAATGTAAATTATGAAATTTTGACATATAATGGATTATCAAAAAAACAATTCCCATAAATCAGAATATGTTTAATGATTTGTTTTTCCCCTTTTGTTAAAGGCCTGTGATGCTCGTGTCCTGAAATGTCAAAATGTACTCTTAAACTCCAATATGATTAATACACATCAAGAGAAGAATGATGAACTCTTAAACTTCAATATGATTAATACACATCCAGAGGAGAATGATGTTTACTTGATACATAGAAAAGAAGCACTGCAGAGGGTGAGGTAAGCTTATTTTTAAAAAAATTATTTTAAAATGATGTGTAAATTTTTATGAATATGATTTAATTTCATGTGACAATAATTTTTTTTATGAAATAACTAATTATCTTTAATTTTTATATCATCATTTAACAATGCATCATTACTTCCTTGAAATAAACAAATTAATATTGGATATTTTAGTTGATAATTAGCTTTTGAGTTAGTACGTTTAATATTCTAACAAACACTTCAACTTTGAAATTAAATATGTTAATTCAGTTTACCAAAAAAAAGTGATAATTCAGAAGACTATTAATTATCTTAATTGCATAAAATGCAGTGATATACTTTTACGATTTGCGTTAAATTTTACGAGACAGACAAATTGATTTCTTTTTTCTCTCGTGCATCGCCACAGGTAATACACTAATATATATATATATATATATATATATATATATATATATATATATATAGGGAAAAAAGTTTCTGATGTTACTTTAGACAACTTTGTCTAATGTTCCTCGAAACGACGTCGTTTTGAGGTTGAAAAATTAAAAAATTAGAATGATAAAGACTATTATAACCCTGAAATAAATTAAAATTACAATGTTATCAAAAAAAAAAAAAAAAAACTTACAAAGATACCATGATTTCCGTCCCAAAACGACGTCGTTTCGATGAACATTAGATAAAGTTATCTAAAGTAGCTTTAGAAAAAACAAACCCATATATATATATATATATATATATATATATATATATAAATAGTGACATGTTCTTTCTTTTAGAGATTAACTAACGACGATCGCCGAGAAAATTTTTAATCTTTTTTCCCGTGCATCGCACGAGTAATGCACTAGTGTTTTAATAAATTAAAATTATTTGCATCAAGAGATATGTTGGTGTGAGAACTTCCCGTCAAGTTCAATTTAAATTTATTCAATTTATTACTTTTTTGTGAATAATTATATTTGTTTTGAATTCATTTTATTTTTTACTGCTATAATAATATATATTTTTTAAATTCTTCAACAATTTACACAATTAATTTTAGGATAACTATTTTCTGAACAAAGTGTGTAAGGTATTAATACATTCAATTCGCTGATACAATCTCAATTTAAAAAAGTCAATTTTTCTGAATAAATTTTTTTTTGCAATATTTTTCTAATTAAATAAATTTTGGTGACAACTCCATTTTTTTCCCATCACACGATGCTTTATGACAATTAGGCTCAAAACTTACTAGAGTGTGAATTCAAAATTAAAGTTTGTGCAACAAAAAGCACTAAATTTATATGAAGTCAATTATCAATGAACCAAACAGTGTAGTTGCATCACACCATAGAGTATATAATTTTTAAAATGACTGTTTTTAATTACGCAAAAAGCGATATTCTTTTACTATTTCTTCATGTTAGATGCATATAGCTAACTTATTTAGTTGCTATTTCTGTAGCTTGATCGGACTAAAATCTTATCCAAAGATAATATAGTTTATGTTATCTAAAATTACTTAACTGTCCTCGGAAGATACCTACTTTACTTGTAAGGTTCACTGCATGCCCAGCGTAAAATAGATTCATCCAATCAACTAAAAATATAAAAAATAAAACAGGTTCATCCAAAAGCAGCAGATGCGGGTGCTGGAGGGTCAACAAGAAATATATCTAGAAGTTGATCAACAGATTTGTAGTTATAATCAGGATATAGCTGCGAAGCTCATATTCCCCTAGCTCAAAGTTCATGAGGTCCCCTCTAACAAATATACTATGAAGGATTGAAACTGGTATATTCTCTGGAGGGGGTAAGGCTGCAACATCATGGAAAAAAAAGTTTATCATTAATGTCAAAACCGATTTTTCAATTTTAACATCAAAATAATGCTCTAATTTATTTCATATATTAAAGGGTTGAGATAATTTTATACTAGTATAAGTTATAGTATTAATCTTGATCGTTGATCCATTTATGTTTAACAACTCTAATTTTTTAGTTATATGTGTCATTGGATACATGTGAATCAATGAACAAAAATAAATATAAGACTTCTTAGAATGACAATAAGATTGCTTCTTTGTGACAAGAAGATCTCACTGAAAGTCATGAGCATTTCTACATTAGAATATGCCTTTAATTAATCAAATTATAATAAAAAAAATCAACTTTTATGTGGTGTACTCATAAAATTGGAGAGGCTTGTGATTAGGGTTTGTCGAATTTTGTCAAATTTCTCATATCAAAGTAAAATAAAAGTTCATATGTTTGATAGAAGGTCTTACTCTGTGATAGCTTGACAAGCTCCACCTCTGACACAAAAGTTTTGTGAAAATTCTGACCAGTTTTATGCTCCCACAACGATATCAACTCATTTTGTGTTATGATATTTTTGGAGGGCCGGTAGACAACGACGCGATTGCATGTTCTTGGATCATTTGCTACTTTGATGGTGTACATAGCCACATCTTCTTCATAATTTAGTACGGCTAATCAATACAGATTTCACATTAGATTGTTAAAAGATGACTTCATTATCAACGCGCGCAATATACTATGCATATGCAAGTTTCATATATATATATATATATATATATATATATATATATATATAGGAAAATACACTCTTAAGTTGTAGGAGAGTGTTTTTCTCTTCTACACATACATCGATTTTCGTATTACTTTTTTTTTTTTTTTCTATAAGTGGGTGGGTCACACACATGATTATCTCTTTAGCATAAGAGAGCTTCTATCTTGTTGCATGAGATTAATAAAGCCACACACACACACACACACATATATATATATGGTTAAAAGTTTTATGTCTTTTTAGCAATTTATAACTATATACTACTCTTTATACATAGTTATAATATTAAAGTTGCACTTTTTTCACTTTTCACGTCAACAAACAGTGTCTGAAGAGAGAAAAAAAATACGATTTTAATATTATAACTATGTACTAAGAGTAATACATAGTTATAAATTGCTAATTGGATATAAGTTAAAGGATAAATCATTTAGCTTACAAAAAAAAAAGGATAAATCATTTTTTTACACACACACACACAGATATATATATATATATATATATATATATATATATATATATATATATATATATATATATATATATGATAAGTTATTCAGCCTACACACATATATATATAAGGACAGAATCTGTTTACAAACTTTTTTTGCAATTACATTAATGTAGGACCGGTCGTACACTGTGTGATTAAAGTAGGACCGGTCCTACATAGTGTAGTTTGTAAGAGTTTGTAAACAAAAAAGTTTGTAAATATAACCTGCCCCATATATATATATATATATATATATATATATATATATATATATATATATATATATATATATATATATATATATCTTATTTTGCCTACCTTTGTCTACCTCTTTCACACACACACACATATATATATGAGATAAGTTATTCTGCCTACTCTTATTTTGTCTACATTTTCCTACCTCTTTCAATACCGTTAGATTACAATCTTATCCAATGGTGGAGATTTACTGTATAAAATAAACTCTTTTACTCCTCTCTCTCTCACTGTCTCTCATTCTTTCTCTCTCCTCTCCTTTCTCTCTCTTTAATGGCGCTTAAGCATCAAAAAAAGATGCAAGCTTTTTTCTCAATTCATCCAACCCAGTCATTGTTATGAACAATTACATAAAAAATTAAAAAGAGGTGTCAAAAAGAAACAAACCCAGATGCCCTATGTTATGAGATCATGTATGTATGTTGTTGGGTGTAACCCAGATGCCCTATAGCTGATCATTTTCCAACATTTCAACTGATAATTTTTATTGCTAAAATTCCATAAGCAAACAACCTTGCCAAAGTTATGATTTCAACTATTTAAAACTACAATTCAATCCATTTTTAAGTATTATTCTTTTCTACAATTTATGTACAAAATACAGAGTCTCTCTTTTACTTTTATGTTTTTGGATGACTAACTCTCATTTTCATCGTGGTATTTTTTATGATTTAGGAAAAATATGACAAATTATATAGTGTTTTCAGTTAAAGGGAAGTACCGTCCTTTTGAGTATTAATATATGTAAATTGTAGGAGTTTCAAGTTAGTACACACACTAAACTCATTTGAGGAACCAAGAATAGTTGGTTTAGTGGCAATTGACTTAGACTCTAAGATTTGACTTGTTTAAAGGATAACGAGTTTGATTTTCGAGAGTCGTAACTCCTAAAATTAGTGGAAAGACTCAAACACGAAACCGGATTAATCAGTTACGTTAAGGTTTCAAAAGCAAAAGCCGGTTGATAAAAAAAAGCCTGATTTGAGAAAAAAGAAAAACTTGGGAGTAAATTAACAGACAACTTTTTAGTCTAATAATAATAAAAAATAAATAAATAACTTATGTATAACTTTATGGGTAAAGTGTGTGTCATTTTAAAGGATGTAAAGTTGTGTTATTTTAAGAGACAGAAAGAGATAGATAAAGGAGGAGAGAGAATTGACAAAAAAATAAAAATGTGGATCCCACCTCTTTGTGAGAGTGAAATGATATAAGTTATATCATTTAAAAGGATAAATACTTTTTCCTAACTTTATACGTCATTCAACGTTGAAATTAATACACTATTAATTATAAAATTTCCTCATGTTAAGAATAAAGAAATAATACACTATTAATATACAGGATATTTACTAATTGATTAAGAACATATAGACTAAAGTGCAATGTGTTCAATTTTGTAAATTAGAGGGCAATAGAGAGTAATATCCACTAAGATTATTTATTTTTCATTAATTTGAATTCATAAGCGCAGCTCGAAGGATTATATAGTATATACCTTTAGTTTCACCGTTGCCATAGACAGCGATATCCTTCACTTTCTCAAATGGACGAAGCAAATAATTCACAAAATATGCACCGCAACAATTTGCAGAGACAAAAGTGAAAGGTATCCCATTTGCTTCAATTTCCCTTCTAATTTTCCTTTTCTTATCAAGGACAGCTTGGAACGGAGGAAGCGGTTTTATTCTATCTTCTTCCGCTCCAAAATCTGATGGAAGGAATCTCTGCAATGCCAATATGTAAAATTATAAATAACTTGGTAGATACATAATACAATTGTGTGATAAGGTTACAAAATTCGGGTCCTTGGGAAAAACATGTATTTTTTTTTTTTAATTTAGATATATACATTGCTTTCATAAAGCAACTTGAGTGTGGTGAAGGACAAGGATCAAACTTTCAACTTTGGGGTTTGAACAACCAAATTTTTTTCAAGCGTGTCTTCACCCATTTGAATATGTCTAATCCTCTTTGTGGCATAGAATATAATGGTTTTTGCCACTAGCCCCAAATTATTTTGCCTATGAATCAATCGAACTAGAAATTTTTCAATCCCAATAGTCTGCTCCTTCCGCATCACTTACCAACTATGTCGCCCTTTAGGGGGTGTTTGGTTGAGGTTAAATTTTTTTTTACTAGGGAAATGTAATTGCTAGGAATCTGCAGGGAAAGTGAGTTGGATAGGAAAATTTTAAAAAAGTTGTTTGGTTGGGTAAAATTTTACCAGGAAAATTGAATGAAAATTATGAAAGTGTGTTTGGTTGGAAATAAAATATTGATGGAAAAAGTTATTGAAATTACGAAATTATCCTTTAAAAATAACCATCTATTAAAACCAATTGTCCCGTCGGTGGTGGCAGTCGCAAAAAAGCCAAACGCTCTCGTACTGTTTCTGCAATCTCCTCCTCCACCGTTGTGACTTCGGCACCTGCTCATCAGGCTGGAATTTCCCCGGAATGCCAGATGGCAGTAACATTGGCGGTGGTGTTGCTGCTCCTGGTGCCGAAAATTCATGGCAGTTTGAAAACGGCAAAGGTGAGTTTGTAGGTGGAGACTGCTTCTCTTGGCTTGGACTAGCGATTTCAACACCTGGAAATGGCCTCAAATGAACCCACCCTTTTTTCCCCCTCTTTTGTTTTGGTTCTCTTCTTGAAGGGAGGTTGCTCTCACTGATGGTTTTAAGTTTAAGGTTACTGCGTGTTGTAATGGAATCGTGGTATATTATCATCATCTATGAAATTAGAAGAACAATTGTTAAGACTTCTGTTTTTTTTTTCCTTTGTTTTTAATTTGTTCTGTTTATGTTTACTGTTGTTTAGTGTTTAGTGACTGAGCTGTGTGATTGTATTAATTCTCCGACGCGGTAGATCCAAATCACGGGTCTCTTCTTCGACCAGCTACCCTTTTCTGCAAACTTTGCGTAGGGGTAATGTGGTCACTGTATTATATCACTTGAAAAACTTATCTGGATTTCAGACAAATACCACCATCCAAAGAGCTTTCTGAAACAGTGTTTTTCACACAAATGACATGCAATACTAGATAGATAGGCAATTAGCATTGATGGATAAATTTCATCAAATCTCTAAACCAAACGTGGACATTACACAAAGCCAGAATCACTTTGATGGGAAACTCACCAAAACACCTCAACCAAACACTACCTTAGGGTTTCAAACAATCAAATTTTTTTTTGGTAGTCTGAAGGGCTAAAATCAGCTCCACAGAAACTAAATTAAATTAACTTTGCGAAAAGAATAAACATGAGAAAAGTCTGCTAGATACAGTAACCAGATACCAGAGGGGGAGTAGAGAAAACACACAAATTATTAGATAACCAATTTGCATAGCCATTGCTCTCTCTGTAGGTATAAGTAAGATAAACCTCCTAATCTTTTGCTATCCATGCTCGAATGCGAGTCACTAATCGCGACTCTCGAGCTGCTCCTCCATCTTTGGAGAGCAAAGTGATAACCGATTTTGAATCACTTTCTAAAATAATATTTTTTCCAACCTCTTCCCAAGCTAGTTCTAACCCTTTAAGAATGTCCCAAAGCTCAGCTGTAAATGCTAAACATTGACCAATATGGTATGCAAATCCATGAAGCCAATTACCTGAGGCATCTCTAAGCACTCCACCACAAGCAGCTCCACCATATGGTCTCCTAGATGCCCCATCCGTGTTGGTTTTTATCCAACCCACATCTGGCAGATTCCAACCAACCGAAATGAATGTTGGAGCCCTTGTAGTCTTGAAGCCTTGTTTCATTTTCCAACAATAAGAGAATTCCCAAACCTTAAGTTTAATTGTTTGGGCTTTATAGGCTTGCTCATCTCTCTCATTAACGTGGACAATTGAATTTCTCCAAGTTCAAGCCATCCACACCGCTGCTGCAAAAATTAAGGCCCATGGAGCATTGAATCTCACATAGGACTCTTTTTTCAAATTTTCCAGCAAACATCTATCAAGGTCATGATTAAAAAAATCAGCGCAATCAGATCTGAACACACCAGTTCCAACCATACCTTCTTCATGTTGCTGCAATCTTTGACCTTGTGAATGATAGTTTCATCTTCCAAATTGCATAATGGGCACATAACTGAGGCTAACCTCAATCTCGCTAACCAGCTTCTAGTTGGTAAACGATGATGAGCTACTTTCCAGAGAAACAAACTAATCCGATTAGGTCCCTTAATTTTCCAAATGTGATGTCATATCTCTCGTTACTCCAAAGTGATCCCATCCTCCAAACAATCACTTTTAACTAGTAGGGCAGGCACTCATTGGGTTAAAAACATGATATTTTGTGTAATGGTCTTTTTCTTGTTTTACTAACTAATGATTTATAATGTATTATATAACTCAAGATTTATGTGAAAATTATAATTTGTCTTGATTTATAGATTTTAAAGTTTGAGATTTGATGACATGTCTAAACACAAACAATCATTCAAACGCGTCCGCTTCATAGATTATAATTATTGATCAAGTGCCTCAAGTTAGAGAAAAAATAAATACGGGATAATAAAATAAACATAACAATTTAAATAGCGATTATTTTATTTCTTTATTTAGGGGGCAACGCGAAATAATTATTACACTGGAAAAAATTTTGATTGATGGAAATGTAGTTATCACCTTTATATTGCCAGCAACATTGATAGCATCAATAATTTTGAGTTGCTCCAACACTTGGGGGTATGGCAGCGTACATATCACAATGTCTACTTGTTTAATCGCTTTTACAATCTGGTCATGCTCAAGTTCTCCCTGCAGTTGCTATTAAGCCTCATTAGAAAAATGAATACTTTACTTAAAAAATAAAATAAAAATCACATTCCATATAACCCGACTAATAAAAGTAAGAGTGAGGGAGAATTTTTAGATGCTACTTTATTCTTATATATTTGTAAAAAAATTGTTCTCCATTCAAACTTGTAAATTTTTGTTGCAAAGGAATAATTTTATTACGGCTTAAAACTCACCCTCTTTTGAATATTTTACTCCCACTACTTTAATTACATTATCTATTTTTCGTGGAGAGAGGTGTAAAGAATCAATTTCAATCCAAACGCTTAAGCTTGCAAGTGAAGAACTAATAAATAATTTTATATTATATCTCTATAATACACCCCTGCAAGAGTCATTTGGGTCTGAGATATAAATATTACAGAAATCCATTTACTAAATCCATTTTTTTGTTATACATTATGCTGACTTGATTTCACCAAAAAAGTGGAAACGATAAGAAACAAACTCGTGGCCTCATTGTACCTTGCCTCTAATATTATGATAGGTAACCAATTCAATTGAATAGCAAAAGCTTACAAATGAAGGTCTAACAAGAGGGAGAGAAAGCAAGAAGACTAGCCTGGATAAGCGTGACTCCCATGGAGTTGAATTCCTCACAAATTTGTGTTTTAGAGGGAGGAGTTTGGGAATTAAGGGGGCGAGTGTAGACCAAAGTTGGATAACCTAAAGAGATGCTAGCCTTCACCATATATTTGCCTATGTAACCAGTTCCCCCAAATATAAGAATCCTATTCTTCTTGCTCTCCATTGTGTTTGGTACTCTCTGCTCTTGCAAATGCCAACACTTAATAATAATTCCAAACAAGATATCCAAACAGGCCGGCCTAGATGCATATGTTAAAGTTAAAATGAAACATTGAACATGCGGGTTTATTCGGATGGCACAATTTCACTTTCAAGCCCAGTACTATTGGATAGGTCAAAAGAGTCCACTTCAAATAGCGCATAAAACCAAAGTACTTTAGGCTAAAGATTCTATTGATAAGATTAAGGATAAGGTAGGCCATGGAAGTCATTTGAGTGGTCAAGAGTATGGTTTTACAATATATACTTACAGGGCGGGACAGAGGGAGTGCTTGCTTGGTCGAATTTAGGATGGGTGTGGCTCTCCTTCAATTTCAGTTTTGGTACATATTTTATTTAGTAAATCTGCCTTTTAGAACGTACATGATAGATAATATTCCTAACAACATTTTTGCTCTAGTTTAATGTGGGGAACGAAATGGTTAAAAACTGTATTGATAAAATTAATTTACTTTTTTCACCAAAAATAAAAATAAATTTAATTTACTTTTCTATTCCGAGTAATTTGAGAAAAAAAAATAAAAAATATCTTTTGTTTTGTTCCTAGAAAAAATCAGAGTTAGAAAATATAATAATTTCCACGCATATCTCAAAAAATATATAATTTCATTCATTTCATAAAATTATATTTTTTTTTAATTTTGAAATTAATTTAATATATATATAACTTCATCTCTTCACAAATATTACTAGAGGTGGCAAAGCAGAAAACTGGCCTTACTTAGCCTCCAACCCTCCCCTTTGAAAATGTGTTGACTAAAGAAGAAAAGGGTTTCAAATGAAGATAAAAAAGAATAAAATGGTCCATAAAAAACCAATGGGTAAACCCGTCTCATGATAAATTAACCCGCTGTTTCCCATATTTATGTTGCGTGAGCTTAAATAAATTGGTGATTTGAGAGTCTCAACCTAACTTGCCATATGCGACAGGCATTATTACCTATAGCTAAGTCTGTTAGTGTATACTTATGGCTTGTTTAGAGCACGTGATAGAGAATACATGGTAGGGAATACATGAGTCGAGCTAGACTTTCATCATTGGGCCCGATCGATCATATACTTCACTGTGATGGAACCCCATGAAGCAGGGCCCGAACAGAGCAACATTTTTGCAAGCTTCACTATTACATGAGAAACACATTGACATTGCTCACGCACACATCAACATAATGATGGGATTCCTATCGACACACAATTATCTTGGCATGGTGATCGATCAGCAAGGGGCCATGAAGGCCGAGGTTGAACTTTGGCTAATGACTGGCTACTGAACTCCACAGTTGAAGGGTCTTCAACAAAACCAGCAAGGAGAGCTAAGGGTTGGCTGACCGACACTTTCACTTTTCACAAATAGTGAGGAATGGCTTCTAAACCTTACCATAGAGATGGCTCCAATGATGGCACTTCTCCAAAGGTAATCCATCTTTTCAAGAAAGAGAAACAAACTTTACTCAAGTGACGTGAGAAATCCCCTATTTGCCGACCGATCAAAACTTCAATGCCGTGACGTCAAAAATTAAAGACTTCAACTTAGAGCACTTAAACAAAAATGAAGACCAACATAAAGGCTCATTACCGATCGATCAGAGGATTGTATCCTACTTTAAATGCTACACACTATGGATGACCATCTTAAGTTCTCATATTCCTTGGCATCCTAACTTCGCAGGATACCATACTGGGGGAAATCTGTTCTGGCTGGCCCTTTCAGGCCCAATAAGTGTTAGTACATGGATGTCCTAGAGACAATCTTTTGATTAGATTAGGACATATGTGGACCTTTTATATTGTCGCAAATAAATAAAAAGCATTTTTTATCCTGTTTCATATTTTGTCTCAATATTATAGTTAATATTTTATATGAGTAACTGGATGAACCCCTTAGAATAAAATAGGTATCTCTTGAGTATTTGTGATGAGATCACGATCATGAGGATTCAAGGATACTGAATGTTTATTCCTAATTTTATGTTCCTAGTCTAGAGACACTGAGAATGGGGATCAGTGATCTCGGGTAAGACTAGCACGACTTATCTACTTGTATTCGGATGCAAGGTAAAGACCTCATGAGCTACAGATAGGAGATGTCTTAGCTAAAGTCGTGGGTGGACCTATAAGGGTATAGCTCGCACTGAACAGACCCACAAAGAGACTCTATGAGGAAATCTTACAAAAGTATCATTAGAGCAGTCTCTTAATATTTGGGTATGTCTTTCCTTAGACCATAAGTTGTCACCTAGACTATGTTCTAGAAGGCATGTTTTGATTGTATACCTCGTCTGCTTGAAACATGGAGACTCATAGGTATACCTTTGGGCATGTCCTGAAAGAGCCCAGGCCTAGGGTGATAAGTTGAAGGAACTCGTCAAATCTCTGCAAGGGATTGGGTTATCTGTAAACCAGAGAAATCGGGATGATATTTACAGGACTCGGGAATCTATGCATAGTAAAAAAGATCATGAGATGATCTGCCTTTAGAGTCAGTAAATTGAATATTCCCAATTTCGAATAAAGCTTACTCTAAACTGCAAGGGTTGATACATTTCCTTGCCCTAGGTTTAATGGGAAGGTAACCGAGATGAAAGGAAATACATACGGTAACCAAATATGTATAATAGGAGGATTATGTCATTAACCTAACTAGCTCTGGGGAAACAAAGCATTGCTAATGCTCTGTGTTGTCATTAGATGGGTTGTGGGCTTGTTGGGCCCAAGCCCATTTATGTCAGTGGCTATGTTGGGCCTAATGGGTCACACACTAACACCTTATTGTCATGATGATATAGCATTAAAGGTATTGGACCTAATAATGGTTGTTAGCCCAAAAAGAAGTTTGAAAGCCCACTTAAAAGGAAAAAGGGCGCATGGATCATGTAATGGGCTTAGATGGTCCAAGACATTACTAATTAATTTAATTAGTTAAATTAATTATCAAATATTTAAATTTTGAATTTTGAATTTTGAATTTGAAATTTGAAATTTGAATTTGAATTTTGAAATTCGAATTTTGAATTTGAAATTTGAAATTTGAAATTTGAATTTGAAATTTTGAAATTTGAAATTTGAATTTAGAATTTAAATTTAGAATTTAAATGTTTGAACATTTGAATTTAAATGTTTGAATTCGAATTTGAATTGGCTATGAAAAGTTATTTCATAACAAAAGGATAAGATAAGATCTTGTTGGAACAAATCCCTAGTATCAAGAGGGGATCTTTGATCACATCCAAGGATGAATTTGGGGCGCCACTTTGGTTGTTGTGAGTGTTTAACCAAATAAGCTCCAAATCAGATTTGGTTTGTTGAGAGAATCAGTGAGCTAGTTGGTTCAAATTTGAATGCAACTACACAACGTATCTGGACTATTTTTGGGGCTGAATTGGGCGCACCATATGGCTTGCCATATGATGTTTGTTAAGTCAGATTTTTGTTAAGATATTGACTTGATATCATGAGGATATGATAGGAGGTTGTTGGCAAGATTTGATTTTGCAACAACTCCATTTTTCCTCTCTATTGTAAAAATCTGATCCAATTTTGATAGTTCTCTCATCTCCTTTGGTCATCCTTTTGTTAGGTTTTACTTAAGAGGTTTTGAAAAATAACCTAGCCATATATCATCAAATCCATGTGCCACTTTTGTGGAGTTTTAAGCTGAAAATTTCACTCTTCTAAACACCTTAACCTAGCCTCCTCCTTCACACATTGGACGCCTAGCAAGCTTTTGTGGTGATCAATTGGTGGCTTTTCAAGAAGAGTTCTTGCATCTTGACGTGGGTATTGTGGATCGATGTTAGAGGGTTTGAACCCTTCAAACCTTACACTGATCTCCTTGGTGTTTGAATCACAAACAAAGGTAACATCATGTTATCTTACAGCATGAGTCTTGATTGCATGTGTGATTCCGCATGGAAAAATTTTGTTTTTTCCTCTCACATGCTTCGGCCTTCAAGGTCAATTTAACTTTCAAGTGGTATCAGAGCCCGGTTGCTTTACCATCGGCGGGTGATGGTACCTTGTTTGTGAAAATTGCTTTTCACGGTGAAAAATCTTTAAAGGGTTAAAGCTTGAATTTTTGCATATGGATTTTGAATTACAATGCTTTAAATTGTTAAAGTTTTTGTTTTTTATGAACATGTTAATGTGATTGCTATGTTCATATATCTATATGTAGTCATGGTTTTGTTTCTTCTTCTTTATGAAAGTTTTAAAAGGAAACACCTTTTTGAAAGGGATGATTCGACCATGAAGGGTACTTAGAGTACCTTGATTATTTTCTTATTTTTTCTCCATGAATTGTTTCATGAGCATAGCATGAATTTTTGTGACAAAATTTATCATATACATGCATATATGATTCGGCCATTAAAGGGTTTATGGCTACATGCGTGGTTTAATTTTGTGTTCTTTAAGAAAGAGTTAACAAAATTTGAATTATAAAGGTTGTTATATAATTCGGCCATTAAGAGAAAATTAAGAAAATTTGAATCATGATTCTTGTAATTATATTTTAATTGTTAAAATGTTAAGACGTGTGAATGAACATGTTTTATGATATTTGATATCTTGTGCTTGCAAAGTTGTCTAACCTTTCAGGTGCAAAAAGGAAGTGGATGGTCATGGTGCCCGAAATTTGAATTTCAAAATTTTAAATTAAAGGTGTAATTTTGCTCTATTTAAATTAGAGGTGTAATTTGAATTTTGAATTTTGTAATTTTTCATTTGTCCCTCCAAAGATGTTTTGGAGTTTCTTTAATTATTTGTAATTAGAGAATTAGGCTAGTGGCATTTAGATGACAAGCAGTCGTGGCTCGAGAAGCAAGATGGACGAATGCGCGAGCACCATGACTGTCTCAAATAAAAGTGTTTTATATGCTTGTATGCTTTGTACGACTAGTATGCATGAGATAGTGTTTCGCGAATGTATGCTTTTATGACTTAAGACATCTAGTATGCATGAATTGGACAAATCGCGTTTGTATGCCTTATTATGCACATCCAATTGCGACTAGTGTAAACCGATAGATGTTTGACATAGGTTACAACAAGCATGATAACAT